AAACCCCCGCGAGGTGTTCGGCACCGCCGCTCTCCACCTCCCCGACGAGCTGGGAAATCGGTGTCCCGGCCGCGGAGCAGTTTTTCTGACGACGGCCCTACGGTCTTTGTTAAAGTCATAATATATGTACTCTAAGCGTCTCCTTTTCATGGTAATTGCAGCTTATTTGGGTATTTGTTTAGCTTAAGCAGCGCTGCTGACGTTGGACGATTTGCTTTAGCTTGCATAGTTTAGAAAATCGCACCTCTATCTATGCATATCTGAGCGTCAACTACGACCATCACTAAAAGGCTTTCGTGTTTGACTTACAGTCTGTAAGACATGTATCGTGCGCTACTTGGAGACCAGCAAGTATTGTCCTATCTGTGATGTCCAAGTTCACAAAACTCGACCTCTTTTGAATATAAGGTAGGAGAAAACTGCAGTTTGAACCCTGCATCCCTTGTTATACTTTATAGGGGGAGACCAGCAGTAGTCCTGTCGATGTTATCTCTCAGTCTGTCATTTAAATCTGAAAGGACTTGTCAATTTACAAGCTAACTCCTGTGTATGCTCTCTCTTTGGAGTTTTTAGTCATTGATTGAAATTGAAGATTTCTCTGGATGGGAGACAGAAAGTTTTTGTCGGTCTTTTTATTTTTTTTTTTAATTTTTTTTTTTTTTGCATATGCCAACCATTGATGCAATCCCTCTCCCCCATTCTCATGTGTGTCATCCCGACATTTTTTACCTCCCTCTGCTTTCTGTATCTCCCACACATGCTTCACTCCACCAACAGCTCCTGCTCAGGAAAACTCGCTGAAACTTTCCAAGCTAGGAGGCAAAAGCCTGTAACACGTGCTTCTCCTTTCAGAAATACTTGTCTTCTCCATGCCACTCTTTTATCTTTTTATTTTCTAGAGAGGACATGTAGTTTTTCAGGCCTTCCTTCAGTCCAAGAGAATTATTTTTCAGTTGTGGTAGCATGGATGAGTTTTGTTTTATAGCGGTATTTAGAGCAGTGCTAGTTTGATTACAAGGTCTTCTGAGCTGATTTTTAATGACCAGCCTCCTATTTATGACTAACTCCCACTGCTGCTTGGATTAAAGTGTCACTTCATCTGCTTAATTTGATGTTTTGGGGTTGTTCTTTTTTCAGGTCAGATAAAACTCTCCAAGATATTGTATACAAGCTAGTACCAGGCCTTTTCAAAAGTAAGTAGTTAAAATGAGGCTTTTTTTTCTGAAAAGTAGAAAAACAAAACTAGAGCTGCTAACCTGTAGTAATACCAGGAGTTACAGAGTATATACTAAAAGAAAACTATATGCTTTTCCATTTAGATGAAATGAAAAGAAGAAGGGATTTTTATGCTGCTCATCCATCAGCTGATGGTAAAAGCTTCTTGTTCACAACTTTAATAAATGTAGCATTGCCCTAGATACTTTATGGTTTCTTTTTTAATTTATAAATTATGTATTGTCATGACAGAATTTTAAGAAGTAAATTCAGCACAGTAAAAGTTTATTGTTTTAACAGTTGGGTAGCTTTAACTCATAATCTTACTGTGGAGAATTTTTTTTCTTGTTACTGAGAATTGCCATTCTTCCTGATTTGAATTTCAAAACGTAAATTATTGTGGAAATTTCTGCGCAGCTGCCAATGGCTCTAATGAAGACAGGGGAGAAGTGGCTGACGAAGACAAAAGAATTATAACAGACGACGAGATAATAAGCTTATCCATTGAATTCTTTGACCAGAATAGGCAAGTTCCAGAATGGCAATATTTTATGTTTACCTGACCAATAGCAGCTAAATTTATTATTTGTTGTAATTATTTCACTTCTTCCCACAGACTGGAACGAAAAGGAAACAAGGAGAAGGACAAATCAAAGGAAGAGGTAAATAACTTTTCCTTACTCTAGAGGAAAGAGTAACAGATACAAACAGCTTTGGGGCAGGTTGGCAGCTGGAAAAAAATACATAGGTATGTGTATCTAGAACAAAAGAAGCACATCTCCTGTTGTGGCACTAGATGTGGAAGAGGTCAAACATCTTCATACAGCTGTATTTGTAAGCAACTTTTTAAACGAAAAAATACCTGCAGTGTTGCTTTTAAAGTGGGTCTGATTTTTTTGTCAGATTCTGCAATAAATTTTTTATTAATTTTAAAAAACATTATGTAATGTATATATTCTAAAAAGGTATTTACTGTGAGACAAAAATCTTTATGTGTAAAATTAGTTGCATTTTTAATTACTTATTCTGGAACTGTAATTTATTACCTATTTCTGCCGTTCCTTACAAGGCAGCAGAAACTGTTATATTATAATAAATAATTTACTAAAGAGCATTTTAAAAAAAGCCATCAACATAAAATCTTGGAGTACAACTTGGGCAGGGATAATTGCTTGTGCTCAGTAGACTGATTTTCTTTCCTATGCCATCAGGTGAATGACAAAAGATACTTGCGCTGCCCAGCAGCAATGACAGTGATGCATCTAAGAAAGTTCCTGCGGAGTAAAATGGATATACCTAACACTTTCCAGGTACTTATGAGGAAAGGGTGATTTTATTTTTATTTTTTTTAAGTCAGTCTTGCTATTCTAAGCCTAGTAACTCTGCTGAGCACTCATTTCCTCATTACAGCCAGCTCCAGCAAGTGCTAACTGCCAGGTATTTCTGATGTGTGCAATATGTTGATGGGGTTCTGAACATTATTTTTAAGGTATCTATCTGGGGAGTTTGGTGACACTGTAATTTTTTACTGCTGTGACTATCGAGGTATCAAGAATTTACTCCTTAATGTATTTAAAGCATATTTAATAGCTCTGAAAATTCCCTATTCCCTGCTGGTTTTGGTGTAGCATTTTTTTTCAGTTTTCTGATATACACAGCAGCAGGGCTCCTTTCACCTGGGAGCCATCGTACACTGGGGGTAAATACCTGGTTGCTCCTTAATGCGAGGCTTCGTATTTTGAACAGATCGATGTGATGTACGAAGAGGAGCCTCTGAAGGATTACTACACCCTAATGGATATTGCCTACATCTACACCTGGAGGCGGGTGAGTACAGCCAGCATGCCTCCCCTGGGGGAGTGTGGGTCGTGGCCCGGGGAGGGTGCTTACCAGGGTCTCCCCTTTGCCTTGCAGAACGGGCCTCTGCCCCTAAAATACCGTGTCCGACCTACTTGCAAGAGGATGAAGATCAGTCACCAGAGGGAAGGCCTGAATAATAGCGGAGAGCTGGAAAGTGACTCTGGGAGCGACAAGGCGAGCAGCCCGGCGGGGGGCGTCCCCTCCACCTCCTCCTGTTTGCCCAGCCCCAGCACGCCGGTCCAGTCTCCTCACCCCCAGTTTCCCCACATCTCCAGCACCATGAACGGCACCAGCAGCAGCCCCAGCAGTAACCACCAGTCCTCCTTTACCAACAGAGTGCGGAAAACGTCGATAAATGGCTCCTCGGCCACTTCATCTGGTTGACATGCCAACCAGGCTACCACCCCCACCCCTCCTTTATATAGATCTCTCCATGCCATTACAGCTTTATAGATGCTAATCCATGTGACTATCGTCCAAATTGCTTTCTTAAGTAGTGACACTGAACTTGGCTATAAAAGGCAGACTGGGTGACATTCAGGATGGACGCTAATGGAAACGCGAGATTGAAATGTAAATTGTTTTCAGAGGACTGGGAAGCAAACAAAAGTGACACCTTCACCTGCTCTGAGTGATGCGGAGTTGTTTCCGTCCCCATCATCTGGACTCGGGAGTCTCCAGAAGCCGATACAAATCCCGGGAAGCAGTTTGTTAATCCAGACTAACTCCTCCATTGCGTTCTCTTTGATTGTTTGTTCTTACGCTGTTTTGTGAACCTGTAGGAAGCAAGTGCTTTTTCATCTTGAAATCCAACAAAATGGAAAGAATATGCATAGAATAATGCATATATGTAGCCATGTCACTGTGAATAACAATTTTTGCGTATTAGCCATTTTGATCCTTATGTTGCATCTTTTACTTCTCTGTTGCTGCGCAAAACCGATCAAAAGAAAAGTAAACTTCAGTTTTACAATCTGAATGCCTAAAAGCGGGTATTACCGTTTTATTTACTGACTTGTTTAAATGATTCGCTTTTGTAAGAATCAGATGGCATTATGCTTATTGTACAATGCCATATTGGTATATGACATAACAGGAAACAGTATTGTATGATATATTTATAAATACTATAAAGAAAATATTGTGTTTCATGCACTCATGATATGGTTGTTAAATTTCTAAACTGGTTCGACCCTTGCAGATGCCACCTGTTTGAGCCTTGCTCATGCTGCAAGAAACAGTTTGTGTGAGAGCTACAGTATTGGGAAAGCACATTCGAGTCTCCAATAACCTGGAGGCAATTGGCAATCTTAAAAGGATTTTACTCACTTTGTCTTTTTTTCCAAGTGATATATTTTTACTTCACCAAAAGTTGAAGTGATGCAGTGAAGAAGAAGGAAAAAAAAAACAAAAAAAAAAGTTAAGGGATGTGGAAGTCTTTGACCTGTTTGATTACCTTTTTATTATTTGGAGTGGTGGGACTGATTGGTTTGTTTTTGGTTTTGTTTTTGTTTTTAAAGCACATGGAATCATTACAGAAGCCATAAACTATTTGGTATAAATTTTAAGGAACCAGCAAGTTGCTGGATGAAGGCATTTTATCTAAATTTGTTTTAATATATATGTATATGGTACAGTACTAACTTCATTAAAATTTAACAGGTACTTTAATATTTCCAATAAATTGTGGAGAATGCCTCTTTAATGGCCTACAAATAGGTGCATTTTATTAGAGGCTTCTAAGTGGTTTTGGTCGGTTTTTTTTCAGTAGAAGAAACTTTTCCACCATAAAATATGAACAGCCTGGAACACTGTTCAGTTTGTGCTTTGCTTTGGTCGAACTTTGTGTGTGTTCATCACCCATCAGTTATACATTTGTGAGGGTGTTTATTCTATATGGATATTGTTTCATGTTTGTACGGGAAAATTGTAGTTAAACATTTCATTGTCTCCAGTCTGCAAAAGAAGCACAATTCTTATTGCTTTGTCTTGCTTATAGTCATTAAATCATTACTTTTGCATATAAATTGCTGTTATTTGTCCTGCTTGTTTTTATAGACCGGGTGATTGCAAATCCTCCACAAGGTTATTGCTTATTGATGTATAATGTCTTGTTAAACAAGAGTTGATATTTTTTCCTGTAGTAAACATGTACAGTTCAATTTCAACAGTAAAAACTTCAGTTTTATATACACGAATAACTTTCATTTATAGCTGATCAAAGAAATAAACAAATAAAAGGGATGATTCATTGAAAAATAGCAAATGACCTCTGTTGATAATGTGTTGTTAAAGGACAAACTTCTTGTTCTCATTGCCAGTTCTCATTGCCATTTCTGGGTGTACAAAAGATTTTAATGAATCGAACACTAGAGTGCTAAATTAACAACAACAACAGAAAATTCCTAGAAATCGCCATGATTTGTTCTGTTTGCCTGTCTCGAAAACATTTGCTGTTCTTTATTTGACCCTGAATTATTCTCTGAAATAAGCAAATGGCGTATTCTCACATCCCAGTCAGGCATAAGTTTTGCCTCCTGTCTATTCAAACCTAGACCACATTAAACTGCACTGGCGGGGAAGGGAGGAACAGGATTTTTGTGGTGGCGAATGCGTGGTTCCTGTGCTGCTCTGGATTGCTTTCTAAACCAACAGTGGAACTAAATACGTTTTAATGTAAAGATGTCTCTCCATGCGGCCAAGTGTCTATCTTGGCATGATTCCCTCAACCATAGGAGTTAATCACACTGTACTGGCTGGATTAATTTACCCAAAGACCAGCACTGAACCTGCAGCAGAGGCTTGTACATCAGCACACTCATCAGTCTGCGCTTATTTATACTGGATGTAGCTAAGAATGACAACTTCTAGCATCAAAAAGGAACGATCCCCGGTATTTGTAGAGTGTCCGTGAAACGTAAGGCAATGGAACAGAAGCTGGATAATTCCCTGCGAGGTTTATTTAAACTCTTACAACACTTTCGACATCTCCCAATTTGACATTTCCCGTCTGAAAAGGAACAAAGGTTTTCAGTAGCTCTCTTGCCGAGCTGCAGAAGCCGCCGAGGATGTTTGTGGTGCCATGTGAAACTTCTGTTTTGCTGTTGGCCCTAGACAGATGGCACTGCGATGCGTATATATCGCTAAGCACAACTGGGAGGACGATCAAAGATAGCATCTGGATGTTCTACTTGCGAACCTGCTGTGTCAACCTCCCCGGTTTCACAATATTTTTCTTTGCAGTTACAAAGAGAACGGGTTTCCTTACAAATGTACGTAAACCCTCCCTATTTGTAAAGAAACCTCAGCTCGGTATATGTAAGAAGAATCACTTCATTTTCCGACGTTGCATTTATACAGCTCGAAGGATAAAGCCGAAGCCTGCGGAGGTGTTCTGAGCTTGTTCAACAAGAAATCTGACCAAAGGTAGAGGCAGGGGCTGTTTGTGCCCCCTGGAAAATGAGATCTTTCCGTTTTCATCCGCTTGCAGCTCTAAGCAGCGCTTTTGTACCCGCCCGGGACGGGGGATAGATGGCACCGACCCAGCCCCGGGGAAAGCGAGGGAGCGGGGAGCCTCACAGGTTTCTGGAGAAGTCAGGCAGAAATGGAGAGAAGGAATGCAGAAATACGCAGAAGGAGAAAGAGCAGGAGCATGACGAGCTTGCCAAGCGGAGCTGTTTGTCCCCCAGGACCGAACAGTGCTCAAAACAACCTGCGCCGCCGCCTTTCAGCAGGCCGATGACGGCGGGCGGGCACCGCCGAGAACCCCCCGCACACCGGCCGCGTCCCTCGGGCAGGAGAGGAGAG